ACAACCTCACAGTTGCTTTGACATAATTGGTAGTTTACTGACAACCTCACAGATGCTTTGATTAGCCAAAATATATAAAGTTTGTTTTAAACGTATGGTTCTTTTTGTTCATATTTCTTTACTGAAATTCACGTTTTAATGGATAAAATAAATAGCCACATAATGAAATAAATATATGCGTTTTGTTCACCGCGTGGAATTGAACCCTGGATTTTAGTTTTGTTAGTCTACAAATTGATTGCTGACCTACTGTGTGAAAGTTGTTTAAGAAAATATATGCATTTAAATCTTATATTTAAGGTGCCATTAATAATCTTTATATATTTACTCCCCCAAAATAACATAATTATATTATGCTGGACTTATATTTGAATTGATCGTTTCAAGTAATAGTGAACAGTGCTTAAAACAACAAAATAATAACCAGTTGTATGTTGATTAATATGTAAAAAAAAAAACACACAAGAAAAACTTCTAATTGTGGCATTAGTTCCACGTGTTGTGTACGTGTAGTTAACAAGGATTCTCGATTTGTCTATGTTAAATATCAAGATCTACTTGCAAATTACTCTTGAAAATTTCGAAGAGTATGACCGAAAATATTTAAATACTGTAAGCACAGCTCTCTCAGTTTCCAGTTCTTTAGATGGTTTAGTCTTAGTTATAATCGTTCGTGGTTTACTTTAGAAACTCAGACTCGGTTTGATATGTAGTATTCACTTCTAAACTTCGTATGTTAGTTTAGTTTTATTATACACTGTTTGGTTCGCTTACATTCAGAAGTTTCTTGTAGTTGTTTCCACTCGCTGTAAACTAGAGTTTTAAATGTTAACCACGTAATTTGTAACAATAACACATTAACTGCCCAATAAAGGTCAATAGATGGCGCCACAACTGTCACAGAATTAACAGCAAAAGATGACGTAACTTCAGTGGAAAAAACCTAAGGGCAGTAGATGGCGCCACAACTGTCACAGAATTAACGGTAGAGATGACGTAACTTCAGTAGAATAAACCTAAGGGCGATAGGTGGCGCCACAACTGTCACAGAGTTAACGACAAAAGTTGACTGTAACTTCAGTAGAAGAAACCTAAGGGCAGTAGACGGCGCCACAACTGTCACAGAATTAGCGGCAAAAGTTGACGTAACTTCAGTAGAAGAAACCTAAGGACAATAGATGGCGCCACAACTGTCACAGAATTAACGGTAATAGATTACGTAACTTCAGTAGGAACTAAGAGCAATTCACGATGATCGGAAAACACGTAGGTTCAAAAAATCGATTTAACTCAAAAATATAAAACCCTGATAAAGAACGGTACACTTTTCGAAAGCACTTGGGTAATAGGGTTTTGTAGAACTAAGGACAATATATATGACGTCACAGCTGTCGCAGGACAGTAGGTGGCATCTTAGTTTGTTTATTTATTGAATTTTGCGCAAAGCTACTAAAAGGTTATCTGCGCTAACCATCAATAGTTTCGAAGTGATAGGTAAATTAGAGGGAATGAAACTAGTCAACATCACCCGTCGCCAACTTTTGGGCTACTTTTTACAAACCAACAGTAGGATTGACCACATTTTATAACGCCCCCCTCGGCTGAAAGGACGGACTTGTGCGATGACGGATTCGATCTCACGACCTACAGATTGTCAGTCGAGATTATTGGTTTTTACGTGGTTTTTATCAAACAACAGAACATACTTTATAAATAGGTAACGAGATAAATTGAGAAATTATAACAATTTTTATTTCCAGTTCCAAAAACTTGTCAGTTTCAAAGTCATTAAGTCATCACTCAAACACAAAAATAAAACATACAACATACTTAACACAAAAATAAAACATACAACATACTCAAAACAAAAATAAAACATACAACATACTCAAAACAAAAATAAAACATACAACATACTCAAAACAAAAATAAAACATACAACATACTCAAAACAAAAATAAAACATACAACATACTCAAAACAAAAATAAAACATGCAACATACTCAAAACAAAAATATAACATACAACATACTTAACACAAAAATATAACATACAACATACTTAACACAAAAATATAACATACAACATACTTAACACAGAAATGTAACATACAACATACTCAAAACAAAAATATAACATACAACATACTTAACACACAAATAAAACATACAACATACTCAAAACAAAAATAAAACTTACAACATACTTAACACAAAAATATAACATACAACATACCTAACACAAGGACTCTTCCTTAGCCAGAGGTTGTTTGTAGCAGATGTAAAATATTGAGAATTTATCCAATTTCAGTGAAACTTATATAGGATGTGGCATAATATGAGATATGGCGATTTCAATTCAGTTTCCAAATCGGACAAACACTGACCAAGTTACGACTGGCCACATTATTAGCAGAAACCCCATAGTTAATTTCAGTACTTCTTTTGTAACTGACTGATGCGATACGTGAGCCAACTACTTCTTCGCCCATCGTTACAGCCGTTTCCCAGACTAAAGCCCAATAGTTCTTTAGCATAGAGCTTCAAGCCCTGCTGACAGTGACTGGAACTTTGCTAGCCTTCATAATAATTTGTCATTATTCTCTCAATTACCAGCACCAAGAAGTTCGACCTGTGCAGCCACTGTAGATGTGACCACGATGGACTGTTTTATATCTCTTGTTGAGGAAAGTCCATCTATCAAGTCCAACGATGCTGTTAAAAATAGATATGGTGCTGACAAAGACAGTAGTAATGGTAGTAACCTTTCATTAGATCAAGAACAAGGTCTCCAACCTCAAACAGACAAAGAAGAAGGGTCATATAATTTGATTTGAGAATCAAATAACAAATAATCAATTAGTGTGTGTGTGTGCGTGAGAGAGACCATTGCTGGTAAGTTGGTTCGGTCACTCTGAAATCCTGTGTCTCTTTGACTGTTCATAACTCTCGACTGAAATACGTTACCCTCATGTGGATTGCATATTTGGATTCCGGACTTTCCAACGGTTTATACAATATCTCAGAGAAACATTTACTAGAAATTCTTGTTTCTTGCCCTGACATCCCAAAACACTACTTCGCCTCTAGTTGAGGGAAATATTCCGTGTTATCAATTAAAACACTAATAGTATAATCTTTAAAAAATGAGCAAGTTTACAAAGCACAAAAACAACAAAAAAAAATGATAAAACAATAAACATCGATCAAAAATCTCAATTATGTTTCTTAAAATTTTTAATTTACTATTATACACCAAGATAAAATTAGTACCAAAGTAAACAAAAGACCAAATAAAGCAACGCTCGAGTTAGAGCTGCTGTACCTAACAGCCAATCAAATGAAACTTGGATTCTAACCTTGTACCTGACAGCCAATCAAATGAAACTTGGATTCTAACCTTGTACCTGACAGCTAATCAAATGAAACTTGGATTCTAACCTTGTACCTGACAGCCAATCAAATGAAACTTGGATTCCAAACCAGCACTTTTTATTTAATTTCTAATTAAAAAAAAAAAACTTAACCATCATTCATCTCGTAAAGTAGCATGACGAAATAAAACATTTACTTACAGTGATACTATTGGCTATTTTCTTGACCTTTTGTTTTTTTTATTCTTATTTTATTGTATGTTGGACTGATTGGAAAATAGGAGAAACACTTCAATCTTCGTAAAATCCCCATACCAACAGGAAAATCATAGCAGCTCAATCCGCTTTCCTCCTCTTCGTTTTTTGATGCAGTGAGATGGCTAACTTGTATCTGTTGCCGCCATTTTATTAGGCCTCGCTCTTCTTCTGTGCCTGTATAAAAAAAAAGGAGTTACTCGGTAACTTTGGCTGCTTTTATCTAAATGACGTAACAATAAAAGTATCCGAGACGTTGTTGTATTGTTAAAAATCGTGTATCGCATTGAAATAACAAATAACCTTACAATTAGCGATGAACCTCATCTGAATTTTAAACACGTTCTTTCGACTTACTTCTTCGATAGAGGGTTCCTAATAGCCAGAGTCACGCATACACATTGATATTACAGTTAATCTCACTAATTAAAACTTGGATGGAAAATTATTTATTATTCCCAGTTTTTTAGCATTGAATATTGTAACAGACCAAAACATAACATTAGTTAATGTGATGCGACATGTTGACCCTAGCGGTGGTGTACGGAGTAAACAAAAGCCGGTAATTTGAGGGTTAAAGTTCGGGGTTGAGGTGGGAACACAACTAGCATTAAACACTTTATTGTGTATTTCTTTAGTGATAAACATTAACATTTAAAAGATTATTTTCAATTGGGAAAAGGCGTAGTTTATTTAATAAGAATAGGCTTAATGATCCCAGCAAGTTTCTACTCAATCTGTTTGTTTGTTTGTTTGTTATGAATTTCGCGCAAAGCTACACGAGGGCTATCTGCGCTAGCCGTCCCTAATTTAGTAGTGTAATACTAGAGGGAAGGCAGCTAACCATCACCACCCATCGGCAACTCTTGGGCTACTCTTTTACCAATGAATAGTGGGATTGACCGTCACATTATAACGCCCCCACGGCTGAAAGGGCGAACATGTTTGGTGTGACGGGGATTCGAACCCGCGACCCACAGATTGCGAGTCGAGTTGGCGGTGGGTGGTGATGACTAGCTGCCTCCCCTCTAGTCTTACACTGCTAAATTAGGGACGGCTAGCACAGATAGCCCTCGTGTAGCTTTGCGCAAAATTCAAAACAAACAAACAAACAATTATTACCTTAATCGTAGATATTACCTGGAATAGTGTTGTCTAGAAGTAAGCCTAAAAATCCACCAACAAACATGCTGGTGCTCAAAAGGACGGCGAGAATATTGCTTGCAACGTCATTTCCTGTACGAACAAAATAATTTTCCGTTTTTAATAGATTGATTGTTAACAAATATAAAGATTTCATTTGAGAAAGCTGAAACTTTGATATTTCACACACAGAACTGTTAATACAAAATTGAACTAGAACTGTAAAAATAAGTTTTACAAAATCATTCATTTCTGATGTGATTTTAAAATGTAGAGCATTCCATTTTTTTATGTCATAATAAAGAACGAATTAAATAAGAAGTAAGCTGTTGTATTTAGTAGTCACGTAATTTACGTTAGAAAAACGTAAATATTACTTTGACATAGCTTTGATATTCAGGTATAGCATATGTTTACTACATGCTTTTAGCAATATGAGAATTTTTTCAATTTTTAATTTATCTAGTTTTGCTGCAGTTTTAGGATAGACAAATGGTCCAGAAACCGTTGAAGTTGCCTTGTTCTAGTTGCTTTGTTCTCCACGGCAGATAGTATCTACCTTGCCAGAGGGGATGTTGTGGTCTACTTTGCTTAAGTGTTAGGCGGGTCAACGGCTGCAATGTCGTTTGCTGGCCGAGTGGATGATGTCTGTATGTTATGGCCGATGAATGGTGTGAGAGAACAAGAATGACGAGATGACTCCATCACCTAGACAAAGAAACCGAGTTTATTTGTTAGATTGAAGTTTCATTTCTTGGTTCAGTTCTATTTGAAAATCAGCGTGTTTGGCTCTACAGAAATCTATCTTGAGAAAGAAAAAACCTTCAGATCTAATCAAGATTCAGGAGCAGTGACTGTCGTTTCATTTGTGCAGTACTCACACCGCGTTTATCATTTTCTAAGCATAATGAAAGGTGTTTGGTTTATTCACACCTTGTCCAGTTTCATCACTTCATACTCAAATTTTCGAATTCAGATCCTTGCTAAATTTCCTGGTCGACCTTGCTGTTATTAGCGGAAATCAGTTTTACCTGAAGATACCACATAAGTTCATCTTAATGTGTCGACGGTGTGACACACCAAACACACAACGTTCTAAAAGTGAATAAAACTGGACTGCTGATGCAAGCTTCTGACGTAGACAGCATTCTTGATGGTCCAGTATAGAATTGTGTGAATTTGTGTTTATGGCAAATAACTATATGTCCTAATTTTGAACTATTGACCAGATCGATGGCTGCTCCACACACCATTCACGCTAAAGAAATGACTATCACTCTTATAACATATCCAACGTTTAATGTGTGGATTCGAACATAGCTCGCCAGCTCCAAAATCCAGGACTCTACCACAGGACCAAATCCTGTTCCAAGTATAGAGAAAACGAGCAAAGCAATAGATAAATATTGTGACATCGATAAAATTTACAGCTTATTTCTTAAATATTATGTCAAAAACATGGTGTAATTTTATAATTTCATGCTTTGTTTAATATCAAATGGGTGCTTGTATACGTTTTCACAGTTAGTTTTCTTGTTTCGTTTCCACGAGTGTCAAGATACTAAGTAAATATATTTCAAACATACCTACGTTGACAGCATCAGGGTTAGTTTTTATCCATTCCGGGACTGCTATTCCCATAAATAAAGAAATTCCAAGGACAAAAAGATTTCTGGAAGAACTCAGGTCCACAAACTGTAGATTGGACAGTCCAACAGCAGTAACAATTGAAAACATCACACAGAATATTCCTCCAATAATTGGGTCTGGGATTGTTACAAATAGTGCACCAAATTTCCCTAGCATGCCAAATATCATCATGATTAAAGCACCATATTGTACCACTCGACGACTACCAACCTGAGAAATATAAAATAAATTTTAATGTCATTCCAACACGAAAAACATAAAATAAATTTTAACATCAAAATAGTTGATAATACTTAATGTAAGAGATATGATATCTCTAAAAAAAAAAATAAGAGAAATCTTACTAAATGTAAGATACAATTTTTATCTTTATAATTTATTTTTCATAGACTATTATCAGATACTGTGGATGAACATCGAGTAATTGTTCAGCACTATAAAGACAGGCGCCATTTTAATACTTGAAATGATAGAGAAGTCCTCCTGATTACTGTCATAATACTTTAGCAATGGATGAGTCGTCATGATTACTGTCATAATACTTTTAGCAATAGAGGAATCCTCACAGTTACTGTCATAATACTTTAGCAATGGAAGAGTTCTCCTGATTACTGTCATAATACTTTAGCAATCGAGGAGTCCTCACAGTTACTGTCATAATACTTTAGCAATGGAAGAGTCGTCATGATTACTGTCATAATACTTTTAGCAATAGAGGAGTCCTCACAATTACTGTCATGCTACTTTTAGCGATAGAGGAGTCCTCACAATTACTGTCATAATACTTTTAGCAATAGAGAAGTCCTCTAAATGTTCTCCAAGAATTTGTATAAGTTAGAGTCATTGCTTTTGACTGGCAGTTAATATTGATAACTTGGTCGTGTTCTTTGGTTATTGTTTTGGAGGAGCTCATTGGTCTTCTAGACAAACTATTTTGTCATGAAACCTGTAATGTGTTGCCACGAAACCTGTAATGTGTTGCCACGAAACCTGTAATGTGTTGCCACGAAACCTGTAATGTATTCATTTAATATCTATCATTTAACATTCTTGGGCATTTGCACGAGTAGACATTATACATTTAGGCCCCACGTCCAATTCTTCATAGATAGGACTACAAACTCAAGCCTTGTATTATCCATCTACCTTTCCCCAGCCTCAGAAACCATTTCTGGCCACTGTACATAGAAAGCAGTCTTCTTATACCCCACAGGTGGTTAATTCAGCTTTACTCCAAACATCGTTAATATATCATTATTTTGTTACATGCTCACGACCCTAAAAAGCAAACATTGACTAACTTGACTGTTTTGAGATCATACTTTGAAAGGTACATCCCGTGTATCCGAGCATTGGACCAATTAGCAGCTCGTAACATTATGAAGACACTTATCTGTTGAGTCTCTCTGTTTATAATTACCGAGTTCCTTCACAGTGTTCAGAGGGAGCTGCACAAGACCTCGTGGTGCCTGTGGGGTAAACCTACAGAGGAACCCCACTATTGTGAGGACCTCCAGTAGGCTAGGAGAGTGTTGGGGGATTCCGTCGGTGGATCTGATCCAATCAGTAAGATAGACAGTTCTGCCTAAGCTTGGTGGACACTTCGCATACGCAATGGTCCCATACACTTTTGGCAGATTAATGTATATTATTTGACCATAGGGAGCTGCATGGTTTATAATAAGTATGGCTAAAGTTTGAAGGAGTCGAAACGTTTCAATACTTAATTTCATTGTCATCATAAAATCGAGTACAATTTATGTTAAAATATCAGTACTTGAGTAAGTAAAAAATATGAACGTGTCAAATTTATTCACCTATATGTAAAATTTGCCTTTTCGCTTTAGCTTTGTCATAATAATATTATATTATTGTCGATTTAAGGATATTAACATCGATTATCCTATCATATTCCTGGACACATAACTTCCTAGCAATGACTATCCTATCATATTCCTGGACACATAACTTCCTAGCAATGACTATCCTATCATATTCCTGGACACATAACTTCCTACCAATGACTATCGTATCATATTCCTGAACACATAGCTTCCTACCAATGATTATCCTATCATATTCCTGGACACATAACTTCCTAGCAGTGATTATCCTATCATATTCCTGGACACATAACTTCCTAGCAATGATTATCCTATCATATTCTTGGACACATAGCTTCCTAGCAATGACTAACCTATCATATTCTTGGACACATAACTTCCCAGCAATGATTATTCTATCATATTCTTGGACACATAACTTCCTATCAATGACTAACCTATCACATTCCTGGACACATAACTTCCTGGCAGTAACTATCCTATCATATTCTTGGACACATAACTTCCTAGCAATGACTAGCCTATCATATTCTTGGACACATAACTTCCTAGCAATGACTATCCTATCACATTCCTGGACACATAGCTTCCTAGCAATGATTATCCTATCATATTCTTGGACACATAGCTTCCTACCAATGATTATCCTATCATATTCCTGGACACCTAGCTTCATAGTCCGAGCACGTTAACCACCAGGTTGATATTGAGAAGACAACAGATAAAATAAAGTTTTTCCTCCTAAAGAATGAGCTTCATCTACAGACTTATATACGAGGTAAAATAAACTGTCGCTTCTCATTAAGTTTTAATTAATGTAAGTAGCGTTTAAACGTTTCAAAATATGGAAGAAGAGTTGTTTTTTTTAGAGTTGACGTTTCGTCAGCATTACCCTTGTTACACCGATAGCTCCAATATTTTCACTGTATGAAGTCAGAGCACCTCCTGTACCCCACGACCCCGACAGTACACAGCTGACGCCTTCGGTGAAAATTCCTCGATTCACAGCGCTCACGGGAGGTGGGGGAGCACCTGCTAGCTTTGCACATGCGTAATAATCTCCAACAGATTCGATGGTTGACCCAATAATTCCGGCTAAGATTCCAAAAACTGCTCCTACACTGACAGTTGGTAGACCCCACTGGCCTAAGGAACGTCATAGACAAAACGATACGCCGTTAAAACGGGAAAATAAAAACAAACAAATTTACGTTCACCCTATTACAGCGACCATGAGGTGTAGAGTTTAATTTTCAATACTTGATGGTCAATAACTTTCAAGATAAGCTCGTGATCCTCATATGAACAATAAAACGTAAAATAAAATAATTTCAAACTATTTTCAAGGGTAACTGTATATTCTAATGTTCCACTATTATATACCTCAAATTTACCCTTGGAAGTATTAAGGACCCTGATTTTAATGAAGTGTTTCATCGATTGTTAATGACAGAACCTGAATAGACTTTTCCATATATCTAAAACTTGGAATCATTTATTACTTTCAGGATGTTGAGGACGATGTATTACTTATAATAATTATATTAATAAAACAACTAAAGTCAGAATTCCAGGATGTTGATGACGATGTATTACTTATAATAATTATATTGTTAAAACACCTAAAGTCAGAATTCCAGGATGTTGAGGACGATGTATTACTTATAATAATTATATTGTCAAAACACCTAAAGTCAGAATTCCAGAATGTTGAGGACGATTTATTACTTATAATAATTATATTGTATTACTTATAATAATTATATTGTTAAAACACCCAGAGTCAGAATTCCAGGATGTTGAGGACGATGTATTACTTATAATAATTATATTGTTAAAACACCTAAAGTCAGAATTCCAGGATATTGAGGACGATGTATTACTTATAATAATTATATTGTTAAAACACCTAAAGTCAGAATTCCAGGATGTTGAGGACTGTGTATTACTTATAATAATTATATTGTTAAAACACCTAAAGTCAGAATTCCAGAATGTTGAGGACGATGTATTACTTATAATAATTATATTGTATTACTTATAATAATTATATTGTATTACTTATAATAATTATATTGTATTACTTATAATAATTATATTGTTAAAACACCCAAAGTCAGAATTCCAGGATGTTGATGACGATGTATTACTTATAATAATTATATTGTTAAAACACATAAAGTCAGAATTCCAGGATGTTGAGGACGATGTATTACTTATAATAATTATATTGTTAAAACACCTAAAGTCAGAATTCCAGGATGTTGAGGACGATGTATTACTTATAATAATTATATTGTTAAAACACATAAAGTCAGAATTCCAGGATATTGAGGACGATGTATTACTTATAATAATTATATTGTTAAAACACATAAAGTCAGAATTCCAGAATGTTGAGGACGATGTATAACTTATAATAATTATATTGTTAAAATACCTAAAGTCAGAATTCCAGGATGTTGAGGACGATGGTGGGCCTATCTGATTAACAAGAACATTTTTCTAAATTATTTATACATCAATTTGACTCTGTTGGTCACAGGGGGGAGGGGGGTTCTAATAATATTTAAGAAAAAATAATAAACAAAAATATCCATTAAGAATGAAACAGTTCCATTAATTGTTGCTGAAAATGACTGATTAATTACACCCTATATTTGATCAATTCTTTCCGCTATAACAAACAAAAATCATAATAAATTTTCTAAATGATACATAACGTGAGCGCCACCTGGTATTAAACGCAATATAAACTAATCGGTAATTTACTGACCAATGAAGTTAAAATTCGGTTTTAACAGCACTCTCAACATCAAAAGGTGTCTCGTATTCGAAATATCCTCCCTATTGTCAAGTTACATTTGAGAAAAAAAAAAATCTTAAGAAAATTGAAAAGCAAACTTTCAGGTCAGGACAATCTACGTAAATCAGTGGTTCTCAAACTTTTTCGTCCGGGGACCACTTCGGCGGTGCCAAAAGACCCCACGCACAACCTACCGGTTCTACGGCATTCCGCTTTCGCTCGTTACCGCAAAAAAATCATCAGTAACTTGCATTTTGGTAGCAGCCCTCGAACTACCAGTGGTCCCAAGACCACATTTTGAGAACCACTTTTCACGACGAAAAAATAAAAATATTCTAATTTGGCTTTAAACTTATTACGGCTTTTTTTTACTATTTCACAATTTATTATAAAATAAAAATAATGTTCATAACGATAGATGGCAGCACCTGGATATGGAAATCGGAACCATGGACTGTTATGTAAAACGTTAATCCGAATATCAGTTCTGGCAGGGTTATCTGGAGCGATGGATTCAGTAGTGGTCAGAATGAAACAAAGAAGCCATACTACTAATATAGTCAATAAAACCTGGAAAGAGAGACAGTCAGAAACGAAAGTATCAGGAAAATCAATTTCGTAAATATTAAAGCAGCTAAGAATGTAGGCCTTACTGGTTACATTTCAAAATCTTACCATCTTCATGTTTCAGTAAACACTTAGTGAATACGTGTGTAGTAGTACTAGAAAATGTTTTTATTTTTATTGTTATCAGTTATTCTTTCCTAAGAGTATGTATTTTATATCCGTAATTTTAATCGTTAGGTGATATCAAGAATATTCCAGCTAACTGAGTCCTAACACTTAAACGATTCATCACTAATAGCAGAGACCTGCAAAACATTTCCGGCCAAATTAGTATCTTTATCATAACAGTACTTCTTTGAATATAACATTTCTAGCACAATACAAACGAATTGTAATCGTAGACAACGAAATGTGTAAATCC